CTACAGCTAAAAGTGCTACCGCCAGACCCGGAGATCGGCTGAATGGATTCGAAAACGGTAAAACTCAACTGTTTAACTCTAGGGGAGTTGGAAAATGAGCCTATTTTCAAAAATAGTGGAGTGTTCCTTTAAGACATTACACCTCTCAAGCACGCTTGCAAGGAGCGTTCTGAAGCCAGTTACAGCCTGTGATGAAAACATACTCATTCATTGCCACTGACTCAAACTCTCTCAAGCTCCTTGTACCATCTATCCATGTGAAACAGGACCACCAACATGGCTGTCAAAACATAAAGCTGGGAACATATGGACAGGAATTATAAATCAATAAACATCTACGGGAATGCAGTTTTGACATTTTTCGTATTTTAAATGTCTTTCATAAGTGTTATTTTGTAAGATATACTTAATATGACACACAATAGGTATATTTAGACCCATTTTATAATTCTAATGAAAGATTTGCAAGATTTTTAGGGAATTTTCAAGCTTCTGAATTCTGGCAGCTCAGCATGATTACACAAACTAAACATGTAAAAATCCTCTAGAGAACATCATTAAATGTAGTACTTCAGTTCCCCTTTCTGTGGAAGGAAACTGCAGGGCTTTTTGAAACTATTTATTTCACAGACAGTAGATCCTGAATGTAAACCTACTGTAATTCTACCAAGTATAGTTTTGCTTTAAATGAATAGTCCCAAAAATGAAAATTAAATTTACTCACTCTCAGGCCATCTAAGATAGAGATGAGTTTGTTTATTCATTGAAACAGATTTGGAGAAATGTAGTATTACATCACTTGATCACCAATGGATCCTCTGCAGTGAATGGGTGCCGTCAGAATGAGAGTCCAAACAGCTGATAAAAACATCACAATAATCCACAAGTAATCCACACCACATCACTCCAGTCCATCAATTAATGTCTTGTGAAGTGAAAAGCTGTATATTTGTAAGAAACTAATCCATCATTAAAGTGTTTTAACCATTGCTTTTGGCCAAATTACCAGTCTGTAATGCATAATAATAAATCCTCCAGTGAAAAAGTCCATCCTCTGTTGTCTTCTCACATCAAAATCCACCAACATATTTGTATCTGTTTTGTACTGTTTGTGCTTGTAAATGGTGCTTGATCTGTGCATTTTTCTCTCTTGATTCAGACAAATATGGATCGAGGACTTGGACTTGAAGTTAAAAACGTTTTAATGATGGATTTGTTTCTTACAAACATTAGGTTCACAAGACGTGAACTGATCAGATGGAGTGGTGTGGATTACTTGTGGATCATTGTGATGTTTTTATCAGCTGTTTGACTCATTCTGACGGCACCCATTCACTGCAGAGGATCCATTGGTGAGCAGGTGATGTAATGCTACATTTCTCCAAATCTGTTCTGAATCAAACTCAACTACATCTTGGATGGCCTGAGGGTGAATACATTTTGGGGTGAACTATTCCCCTCTAAGTGTGTCCTCTTTTGTCCTTCAGGCTATAGAGTCATTTTTAGTTTAGAGAAAGTATATCAACCCTGCATTCAAGTGCATGTGGAAACAAACTCACTGCATTAAGCAAATTTATTATTATTTTTTTTTTTACATATTTCCATTTGAATATTGATTCGAATTGACATTCGGATAATTCAAACAAATATATCAGAAATGTCTATGTTTGATTTCTATGATTATTTTAGGAGCGCAACAGTGTTTTGTTTGTGAGGTCAATCACATATAGAGTGTTGACAGTGTTAAACTGAGTGTGGAATGAGGCGGAGCTACAGGAGGATCTGACCTCTGAGTTAAAGATTCACTTCTGTCTCTGTATTTGGCTTCTGCGTAGCGGATCTCACACGTGTCTGCATGTTCTGCCGCAGAACAACAAAATATCTGTGTAAATAATAAGTCCCTGACCACCACATAGGTGGATATTTCACTTCATTATTATCATCATTTTTTTATTGGTTATGTACATCAGAGTGCTTTATAAAGACGTTTACTGTATTTGATGTTTCAGTTCATGATGCTATTAAAGATCATGTTCCTTCCAAACCTGTTGATTCTGCAGTGAAGGGTCACCCTTGTCCTGTGCGGAAACATGCTGAGGTAAATGACCTCACAAGCTTTTACCTTGATTTAGTCCATCTGAGAAACAGTTCTCCGAAATGCATCTAGGTCTTTAGACATCTCCTAAATCTCGCGCCAGTAACATTTTTTTAGAGTAGCTACAGTCACTCAATCATGGCTCATTTTGCATAAAATGACTGCATGACAAATGGCCATCCTATTGGATGTTCCTCAGAAATTCAGGTGGCACTATCTGTACTATTTGTATTTGTAACTATTATATATGTGACCCTGGACCACAAAACCAGTCTTAAAGGGTTAGTTCACCCAAAAATGAAAATTCTGTCATTAATTACTCACCCTCATGTCGTTTCAAACCCGTAAGACCTTCGTTCATCTTCGGAACACAAATTAAGATATTTTTGATGGAATCTGAGAGCTGTCTGACCCTGCATAGACAGCAATGCAACTGAAATGTTCCCAAGTCCAGAAACGTAGCAAGGAGATCTGTAAAATAATCCATGTGACATCAGTGCTCAACCGCTATTATACGAAGCTACGAGAATACTTTTTGTGTGCAAAAGAAAAAGAAAAAAAACGACTTTATTCAACAATTTGTCTCCTCCGCATGTTCAGTGTATCCAGTGGATATTGTCCAAAATGGCACCAGGGTGATGCGGAGGAGACGAATTGTTGAATAAAGTAGTTGTTTTTTTCTTTTGCGCACAAATAGTATTCTCGTAGCTTCGTATAATTGCGGATGAACCACTGATGTCACATGGATTATTTTACAGATCTCCTTACTACAATGATATTCTGTTACACCAAATACACAAAATAATGATCTTTAAAAAAGCATCATATGACCCCTTTAAGAGCTTAAAGGGGTCATATGATGCTTTTTTAAAGATCATTATTTTGTGTATTTGGTGTAACAGAATATGTTGACATGCTTTAATGTTCAAAAAACACATTATTTTTCAAATACTGTACATTATTGTAGGTCCTCTATGCCCCGCCTCTCTCAAACGCTTCGTTTTCTACAAAGTCCCTCCTTCCGACAAGCGCAGACTGCTCTGATTGGCCAGCTGACCCAGTGCATTGTGACTGGCCGAACACCTTCACGAAACGGTCGTCCATAAAATGCATTGCTGTTCTGTTGTAAGTGATCTTAAAGATTCCTAAATGCATCTACTTTCGGAAGGCCAAATAAAGTGCTTTTGCTTTCGCCTAGAAACACACAGCGTCTCCCTGACATGGCTGTTTCAACACTAACTGCGGTTACTGAAACCACGCCTTCTTTCTTTGCGTGCACATTTGGTGATGTAGATATGTGGAGGCGTGTTAGAACGGGGCGTTTTAGTGGGGAGTGGCAGAGTCTTAACTTTGATAAAGAATATCTCTTTGGGTTTGAGACTTTAGTCTTTGCAACTTCAGGGATCTTATCTATGCACAATCAGCTTGTAACACTCCAAAGAGAAAGGAAAACTTGAAATCGCAGCAGAGGGGGCCTTTAATGCATCATGTTTCCTTCTGGAGCATCAGTGAATGTTTGAACCTTTTTTAATAGTTATGTTTGAGTCCCTCAATTGTCCTCAGTGTGAAAAGCTGGATCTCAAAATCATACAGTCACTGCTGGAAAGGGTTCAAATATGCAAAAGATGCTGGAAAACTGAAGAATCTGCAGGACACAGAGGATTTTTCTGAAGAACAGTACTCAGTTTAACTGTTCAGAACAAACAAGGGATTCATGAACAACCATCACAAAACAAAAAACAGTCGTGGATCATCCAGGTAAGCACACACAGTATTAAGAACCAAGGGTTCCCAAACTTTTGAAGGGGGTTATTTTTATAATTTAAGCATTTTTTTTGTTTTGTGGATTATATGTAAACATCTTTTATGTAAAATATCTGACTCAGGACAGTACTAAATAAAAAATAACATGCATTTTGTATGATCTCTTTTATTTTGTTAAAATTATTCACATTTTCCCAGATTCTGCAAGGGGTTCCCAAACTTTCGCATAAAACTGTATATTTATGTTTCATGAGATTTCGAGCATAAATGTCAAGACACTATTATAATAATTCTCATATCTTGTGAGCCCATGTGGCTGAATAGCTGTATTGATTTTTGGGACAATTATCTCATGTCAGTGTTTGTATACAGAGGTCATTCACCCTCCCTGACAGAACAAACCTGCCGGACAGTTACCCCACCTGAGCCAAACCGACCAAGACATTTAACTTCCCGCACATACTGTCCGCAACGACTGAGAGATTCACTCCGACACAGCTGACAAGGAATCTACCAGCACTTTTGCTAAGAACATGACTGGATTTTAGGAGTACCCTGGATAGAATTTTTAATATAAAACAAATACATAACAGAAAAGAAGAGTCACTTTGGATCAGCAAGGTGCGTTCTTAGTGTTGGGTTCAATTTGCAATGGTACATTATGTTCTGTGATTCAATTATCCTGAAGCATCTGTTTTCTAAATGCCATTAAGACAAGAACAGGCAGAACGATGCCAGGAAGCGTGAAGCTGCGCAGCGTCAAGAAGTTTGGACAGGAAAATGATGGTTATGAATTTTCAGATGAAGGTAAACTGTTTAGTAGTTAATCTTTTAAAACTATTCTCAAATCTATATCACACTCCATTCAGATGTTAATGAACATATTGATTCTGTTACAGAGACAAATGGTGATTACATGTAAGTTCTTAAGTTTTTTTTAATGAAACCTACATTTATTTTTTCAAAATTAAGCATTGAGAAATCCTGTTTTTTAATGTTTCTTTAACTAAAATCGTGTTGATACAGGACAATGGTTTCTGGAAAGCATAAAAAGTAAGTATCTTTTTCTCATTTTTCTTGATGACGGAAGCTTGTTTTCTCACATTTCCTTTAACCACAACATCACTCACTCATTCACAGGTCCAAAAATGGCAAGAAAGAAGAATCAGCCATCCGTGTAGGCTTCTTTCAGCTGGTAATACCTATGTACTATAACAATGAGGAATATGAACTCATGCCTTGTCCTGTTTGGCTTTAAAAAATATATTATGTTACATTGATTTTACTAGATGAACACCTGTTGAATACAGCAGCAAACTTGTAGTTTATGATGACTGTAACTGACTTATAATGTGATCAACAGCGGTCTAAAATCAAGGGTTTATGGTTTGAGGAGATCATCTGGATAAAATTCTGTTCAAGATATTGCAGAAGGCCCATTTATGGTCCATTTAAATATTATGCACAGTCAATAAAAGCTATTTTTACAGTACTTGATATGTTGTATTGTCGATTTGCCCTGCAGTTTCGCTTTGCCAGCTGCCGGGAGATCTGCATGATGATTTTTGGGAGCATATGTGCGATCATTCATGGTTCGGCGCAGCCGCTGATGCTGCTCGTGTTTGGGATGCTGACGGACACCTTCATAGAGTACGACATCGAGCTCAACGAGCTTACTGACCCGGAGAAAGTATGTGTGAACAATACTATACAGTGGAGAAACCTGACGGAAGAAGAAAACCTGGCACTGAACATGACCAAATCATGCGGGTGAGAGCGGGTTTTCACATTTTTAATTGCCAAGGACCCTCAAATATGATGATTATGCCCTTTGAGGAATTCACTAGCTCTAAATAAATATATAAATGCAGCTTTATATTTTAATGTATACAGACACATTTATATTGTGTGAGGAAATTAGTACACATGTTGTTTCCAGAGTGAAATTATTAGCCCTGTCATTTTACTGATGCCAAAATATATTATTGAAATGATTTACTTTGTATCAAGTTAATGGTATATCTTTTTTCTGCTCAATATCTGAAAAAAACATACTCAATCCAATTGTTTTAATAATTGTCAATTTATTATAGTTGACTAAAACTGAAACTAAAATTAAAACCATAAAAAAATGTGTTACTTGAAATAAAATAAATGTTAACTGAAATAAAATCTAAAAATCTTTATATTTCAGCAAAGACAACATTTCTGCTAAAATAACTTAAACTAAAACAGAAATAAAGAGTAATACAAACTCTCTCTCTCTCTCTCTCTATATATATATACTGTATATGTGTGTGTGTGTGTGTGACGTGTGTATATATATATATATATATATATTAAAAACAAAAAAATGTATCCAAATAATAATAAAAACTATAATAGTATGTTAATGATACTAAAATAACATTGATTTGTTTAGTGCTTTTTATTATAAATATTAAATTTTTTAATGAACAACAAAAATATAGTTGGACGGATTTTTAATTTTAATTTAAGATTTTTTTAATTTTTAATTTCTACTGTTAAAATGCATTTCATACGTTTTTTTGTCCCAATTTTTTTTCTAAAATATAGTGTGCTCTTCTGCTTCAGGCTACTGGACATTGAATATGAAATGACCAATTTCGCCTACTATTATGTAGGCATCGGAGCGGGGGTCTTCATTCTAGGATACCTCCAGGTGAACCTTTTAAACTGCTTCTCTCCTGTTTATGTAAATGTGAAAGATCATTTGCAAAAACTTTAATAATGTGCAGAATTGTGCATGACCTTAATAAAGCTAAGTTAAAGTTAGACCCTATTAAAGAGGTTTTTCTCTGTTTTTTTCCTCAGATCTCTTTGTGGATAACTGCAGCAGCACGTCAGATTCAGATCATCAGGAAGATGTATTTCAGGAAGGTCATGAGGATGGAGATTGGATGGTTTGACTGCACCTCTGTGGGAGAGCTCAATACGCGCATGTCTGAGTATGATACATTCAAACACTTTCCAGAGCACAAACCCTCCAAATAAACACAAGTTACCTAATATTGTGTGTGTATCGTCTCATGTGTGCCTCCATATGATCCTAGTGACATCAACAAGATAAACGATGCCATTGCTGATCAGGTGGGGATCTTCATCCAGCGCTTCACCACATTTGTGTGTGGTTTCCTCATGGGTTTTGCAAAGGGCTGGAAACTAACGCTGGTCATCGTTTCAGTGTCTCCTCTCATTGGGGTCGGAGCAGGTCTCATGGCTCTGGTGAGAAAAGAAAATTCATCAGGACTCACATTTCAGATAGATAGATAGATAGATAGATAGATGATAGATAGATAGATAGATAGATAGATAGATGATAGATAGATAGATAGATGATAGATAGATAGATAGATAGATAGACAGATGATAGATGATAGATAGATAGATAGATAGATAGATAGATAGATA